ACCTATCAGAAATGCCTACATGATTAAAGAAGGATGAGCGTTCGGGAATCCCCAGATTTCAGTGGTGAAACATGCCACGAACTGAGAGAGCATCTTGTCCTCGCGTTGGGACAACACGAGCAAGGTGGCCATAGAGTGCCTGTCGCACACTAGCGAGAAAGTTCTGCTCGAACTCCCTTGCGAGCTGGTCGAAGGATGAGACCGAGGACGGGCGTAGCTAGCTAAACAACGCTCGTGCCGGTCCTCTGAAGGTGGTCAGGAATGCCCGACACATCAGGGCATCAGAGGTGCTGTAGAGGGCCATCTAAGCCCAAAATGTAGTGATGTACTCTATGGGGTCGGAGCCGCCGTCGTACGTCTCCAATGCCGATAGCTTGAAGTTGAGGGGCACAGGCTTATCCTGTATTTCCTGAGTGAAGGGGGATCCGCCCGAGCTGCCTTCTCCTGTCTCGCCCCGCGACTTCTGGAACTCGCACTAGAACTCGTCCAAGCACTGGTTGACACGGGACAACTAGATTCTGAATGAGTCATCCGTCGAGTCGGACGATATGGTATCAGGCTCGGAGTGGGGCGGAGTGGCCCGGCAGGGTGTGGGTATGCTCTGCTCAGGCAGGCCTCTCGGGTTCATCGTTTGCTCTCGGGCTTCTCCCGTCCTGACCTGCTCCCTGTTTGGCCCTTACCGTGTCGGGTCAGTCGGGGGAGCTGCTAGCTGCACGATTTGGGGAATGAGTGGGACGATCGTTTGCATCATCCCTGCCATTGCCTGCACTTGCTTGGTCAGGCTCAGGAACACCTTAAGCGACATAGCTGAGGGTCCCATGGTAAGTCCAGGGGGTGATAACCCTGGGTTGTTGAACAAGCGCTAATAGCGATTTGGCGTCGAGGCCGGGATCCCCCCATCTCGAAGGGCGGGGAGGGGCTGATCTTTGAGCCCGACACAAGGGTGACCGACCGATGGTTCTCCCTCAGGGAGAGCTCCCGTGAGATACTCCTGCGACATGGCCCTCCTTCTAGTGCCAAAAATATTGGTGAACTAATGCGTTGTGGCTGATGAGTTAGCATGGCCTAGTCCATGGGCCGATGTCGAGAGTCTCCAGTCGACTGAATTGGTTGCCGAGGTCGATCGAGGCCTTGCGAGGAGCGTTGGCGTCGGGATGTTGATCAGCATATCCTGGTTCAGATGTCGGTGAGCGATCGGCCTTCGGGGCGCTAGTGGACGACTGCAAGGTCGAAACGCTCGCGGCTCGAGGGTGGCCGCTTTCCTACAAGTATGGCTCTCGTCGAGTGTTTGCCGACTTTGGCCCCTCCGATGAGTAAGTCAGTGGTAGGTTCATTTGTTTATGCCTCTCCGGGCCGGATGCCGGCCAAGGGGTTTTATACTGCTGTACGAGGGTCGGTCGTACGCGGGTTTTGTGTGGCGATCGATCCTCGGGAGGTGAGATGGTACCTTTGTGCGGTCACCATCCCAGGTCGCGTGGAACGGTGCCATGCGGCACCGTCCCGAGCATACTTGGACGGGATGTACCGAGCAATGCCTTGGTATAGTCTCTAGCTCGGCGCATGGTGGTGCTCCTCTTGTTGACTTGGCTGTAGCGTGGTGTGATATCGATCGTGACATCGTCTGGACCCAAAATATACCTTATCAAAAACCATTGTTTGTATCTTTACTTCAATGCATTATCTAAAGCATCTCTGATTCTTGGTTCCAAGGTTGGGTCTTCACGAAGCTTTCCACGATGTGGACGTTATGGTCGCCAAAGACCTTTGCATAGGTTTGATTGTGACGAGGAAACCAAATTGGAAGCGTAGCTGATAACTGTAACATTGCCTAGTGTTCGATGTTTCTGGTTATTTTTTCCGACTTTTTTGTTCAATCATTGAGTGTATGTTCAATGACCTTTATGGTTAAAGTACCTAAGTGGTTTCTTCCCAATAAATTAAACCTCTGAACCTCCAAGTTTTAAGAAGCTGATTGACTAATAATAGTCATATTTGACATGCTATACGATTCATTGATAATAATGAAGCAAAGAGCATCATATGAGCATATCGAGAACAAATACAAGACATGAATTCAGAGGCATATTTCATGCAAAGAGACAACTCTTTTCCTGCCCATTTTGGCCCAGCTGAAGAGGTCCCAGATGTGCTACTGAATTAGAGAGGTGTTCCTAAAAATATGCTGTCCCAGGAAAGTATATCAGTCTTCTCTTTTGTGCAAGTTGTAAAATTGAAGTATAAATTAGGAACACATGCCATCCTAATTGAAGTTTTAATGAATCATGTTTTTAGATTAACATCAGGCGGTGTGACTATAAAAGGCATCTCATGAAGTACACGAACAAAATAAATATTTTGTATCCACAATTTATGAAAAATCAGAATGCATATGATAGTGTAGAATAAATATTTGAGTTGTTTGACCTATCTAATATGTATCTTGCTAATCTACAATTAGGCCTTGTCTTAGAAGATATTCCTCCAAATAAATATTAATTATGTTTGCTAGGAATTGAAGTACATTTCAAATATGAATGGACCTTTTCATTATAATATTTTGTCATAGGAATTTTCAGACGAAGCATTGAGATCAGATTTCATATTTTATTGGTTAACAGGTTTACAAGAGTAGATGAAAACAGGCGTACCAAAACTGATTTCCAATGAATATTATCCGGAAGAAGTGAATTTTGTCAACAAAATTTCTTTTCTTTGAATTATTAGTTTGATTGAGAAAGAGAATGAGTTCAGCTCCACATTAAGGTTGGTTATCTTCGATTACAGTGTTTATAGACAGTTGTTCTATTTGTATGTATCATTTTGACTTTGTATTGTTGGTAGTCTATTGTCCTAAATCATCTTTTTCTATCATTTTCTCTCTTTGTGGAATTTTAAAGTATTAAGATGAAATCTCTTGTAACTTTTGGAGATTTAATAGAGAATGAATATGTAAATTTAGATGAAAAATTAGGCTAAGAAAAAATAGAAAGAATAACTTAAAGGTATTGTTCTTCATTCAACAAGGTATACATGTGACAATTTTCTCAAGAATCACGATAGTTACAAACTCAAAGCAAGTTCGATTAACACTTAAAAATAAATTTCAAAAAGTGGTTATGATAAAAACTTCAAACACTTCATAGTTTAAAATTTTGTTCATTAAATTAATTACTCAATACAAGATTTTTTTATCAAATAACTAAAATTATTAGTCAAATAAAATCTTATGATGAACATCTTCATAATTATATTATTGTTACAAAAGTTTTAAGAAGTTTAACCCTCAAATTTGTTTATATTTTTATTGCAATTGAGGAATCAAAAGATTTGTATACCTTTTTATTCGATGAACTAATGAGTTTTTTGCCAGCACATAAAGAAAAGTTAAGTGGGTCACTTAAGAAAAATGAAGAAGAAATATTTCGAGAGTCTTTTACTTCAAAAGAAGAGATAAAAAATATCAAAAAAAAAAAGTGTCGAGGAGGGTTTTATCATAGAGGAAATGTAAGAGGAATAGGATACTTTGATGGGTATGATGAATAAAAATAATCAAATCATGATCAGAAAAACTATAAGAGTGGAATTCAATATTACTATTATAAAAAGTTTGGTCACGTAAAGATTAATTACTGGAAAAAAGAAAAACAAGCATGATATGTAGATGAAAATAAAGAAAGTAATAAATTGTTTATGACTCATAAACAAGTTAATGATATCTCAAATGATATTTAGTCTTTGGATAATAGATATTCTAATTGTATGCCACACGTAAGATCAATACTTAGATATCTTAATGAAACTCAAAAGTTAGACTTAAAAGATAAGAAACAAATCCAAGTGGAAGGAAAATAAACAATTATGGTGAAAGCAAGCCAAAGGAAGGTAAAACACCTTAAAAATATTTTTTTTATTCCTAGTTTATCACATAACTTATTGAGTGTTAGACTTTAATGAATGATAAATATCCAGTTGAATTCGATGATGGTTCATGTACTATTAAAGATAAAAAATTTAATTTAATTATAATAAATATTTACATCACTCAAAATAAGATATTACCATTTTATGTTTCAAATGTTGAAATGTGTACTCTTCTTACAACTTGAGCCTAATTTGTAGTATTTAAGATATAAACATCTTGTAAGATTGTTAAGTTAAAAATAATAATTTTTAGATTGTCTAAAATTAGTATACTTATCTTATGTAATATGATGGATGTATTTATGACAAACAAAAGGAAAAATTATTTTCTATTGAAAGAGCATCTAACTATCTTATATTAATGAATATTGATTTATGTAGACCTGCTAGTCATATGTTACTAGTCATAGGTGTCTTGCAATCCAATCACATGAGTGATGGCACGTGTGACATGATACACACTTTTAAATATCTGAGAAGGACCAAGGATTATTTACTAGTATATGGAGGAAGTAACCTTAGGGTTAACGGCTATAAGGACTCGAGTTTACAATTCAATATTGATTATCGTAAGTCATTTAGGGTGTGTGTTTATATTGAATGAAGGAGTAGTATGATGGAAGAGTTTCAAGCAAGATACTACTACTGACTCGACCATAGAGGCAGAGTAAATTACTACGACAAAAGCAACAAAAAAGGGAGTTTGGATGAAGAAGTTCATCACATATATGAGAATCGTGCCAAGTAGAAAGGAGTCAATTCCCTTATATTACGATAACAACGATGTGATTACTCAAGCAAAGGAATCCAGATCTCATCAAAAGTCTAAGCACATTTTGATGAGGTTCCACCTGATTAGAGAGATCGTAGCCCGTAGAGATGTAGTAGTGGAAAGAGTTCCATCCGAAGATAATATTACGATAACAATTATCTTATATTATCTTTGAGTATCACATGGGTCTAATGGGGATCAAAAACATAAGTGATTAGCTTTAAGTTAATTGGATGATTGATAATTATAGGTGTCCTATAAATTAATCACGTGAGTGATAACACATGTGACACAATGCATGCTCTTTTTAGAAGCTCTTGCTGGATTTGCGAAAGTGTCTCATCCATATGTTCAATACATGCATACATGTGTTAACACCCAAACAAAAGAAAGTCTTTACCTTTCTGTCAGAGTCGGCTGCCTTGAGAAACCTTCTCATGAAAACGTAAGGAGTTGGCACAGACATATTGAATTGCAATGTATTGAGGATCAGCCTTTCCTGCTCGCAAAAGTTAAATAAAAAACAATTGTTCAGCTATTCCAGAGTTTTATTTATGGCAGCCAGCCTGCCATGACTGCACAAGCATGAAAAAGACTATTACCATTTCAAGTATTTCATCCCTCGTGTAAGCTCGGTCAGAGATGAGCACTAGATCCTCTACCACTGGGACAGAGACTTCCTCGTACTTGCAAGCAAGAAGCATAGCTGTAACTCCCACCAATTGAAGCTTCTTTCTTACCACAGTTTGTCTCGCTAAAAACCGATCTATGATATTTACAGTTAGAAAGAGAGTCTCCTCCATCAGCTCAAATTTGTAGTGCACCTGTGGAGGAAAGTTTCAGGAATAATCATGGAGTATATAAAATTAGTGACCAATGACATAATGATTCTTGAGGATATAGTATATATTCAATGTCATGTTTCACCTCTATAAGCCAGTCGATGAGAATAGCTCTCATTTTTTCATTGATGTCAAATTGGTGGGACATGTACTGGGGACTCGCACAACCTGTAACATGTATAGGAATGCATTCATTGCATGTCAGGTAATGGCAATCATGTCGGCAAAAGAACTATGATTCGATTATTAGCTTTTTTCAAGTGAGAATAATTAGCATTTAGAGTCTTAATCCCAGATCGATCAATGCATTGTTTCAAATAAATCACTGCAAGTAACTTTCATATTACTGGGGGGTCAAAGTTCACCTCGGTTTGTCTATAGAAGTTGTATATCTCTTCTACATATTCAACCACTGCAAGTGGGTTATTTGAATCACAGATATCGATATCCGGAACAGTCTCAGCAATGATATCAACTTAAAATTCTTTCCAGGTTCGGATGTGAGATATCCGCTAAAGCCTCTATCTTATTGGATATCCAATAAGCTCCTGAATTATTGGATCATATAGATGAGATCCAATAAGAGCCAATGAGAGATTATTGGATAGAGATCCACTAATCTAAGAGGCTTAGGTAGTTGGATGAAGATCCAATACCGAATAGGGTAGGATCCATCATGGTTAAGTTGACAGGGACATCTATAAATAGGAGAGAACCAAAGACCCGGTCAGAAGCTTCTTGGTTGTCACCTCCTATTCTTCTCTCCCCTTCTTCTCCTTAGATAGCAGGTGTGAAGATTTAGGCAGTGATTTGATGAGCGTCATCGTAGCCCTACTGTATGGATCATCACTAGAGATGACACTTGACCTCCTTCATCATCTCCTATAGATATGCAGAGATTTAAGAATATACGATCTCCCTAGATAAAATATAACTATCTCACACATGGATTTAAGTTTCATGGGTTTTTGCGCATCAATCTTCGCACGACGACAAATACCTTTTTGAAAAATTTGGGGTTTTTATTTTCTATTCTTCCATTGCGCATGTGATGTTGCCTCCATTTTTTCCTACAAGAGCATGGTTCTCTTAGTTTGTTTAATAACTAAAAGAGATTAAATGACCTTTTTTAACAATCAAGAGGGTCACTTTGTCACGTATCCTCCTATGTTTAGTGGGACAGACTATACTTATTGGAAGACACGAATGTGAATTTTCTTGATTTCTATGGATTTTGATTTATGAAATATCATCGAATATGATTTTCAAAAATATTTTAAACCAATGAATGAATGGAATGATTTTCAGAAGAAAACGTTTTCTTTAAATGCTAAAGCTATGAATACTTTATTTTGTGCTTGAGATAAAAATGAGTTTAATCATATTTCTACATGTGAAATTGCATATTATATTTGTCACACACTTAAAGTTACTCATCAAAGTACAAATATAGTAAAAAAATATAAGATTAATCTTAAATTGATTAATAAAATTTTAAGGTCTCTTTCAAAAAGTTGAGATCCAAAGGTAACTATAATTTAAAAAGCAAAGGACTTAAACAACTTTTTTCTTGAAAAAATCATAGGATCATTATTGACATATGAAATGATTTGCAAGACATATAACGAATAAGAGGAAAACCTTCTAAAGAATAGGAATGATATTATACTTAGAACTACAAAAGACAACTCGAACGAAAGCTCAAGTGATAATGATAACTTAGTACTCCTTACAAGAAAATTTAAAAAGTTAATAAAAAGAAACAAAGCAAATTCTATAAGACAAGAATCTAAAAATAAATTTAAAAATGATACAATAATTTGTTATGAATGTAAAAACCCAGTACACTTCAAAAATGAGTATCCATAACCGAAGAAAAAGTTATTAGTACAAAAGAAGACAAAAGCACTCAAGATAATTTGGGATGAATCAAGTGCATAATAACAAACTAACGAAGATGAAGTAGCAAACTACGTATTGATGGCTTTCAGTGATGAGATATATGATAATTGAAATTTCTTTACCTTATAATGAATTACTTAATGAATTTTATAATTTATATGATGAACTTAAAATAATAAGTAAGAAATATAAATTACTAAAAAAGAATCATGTATCTATCTCTAATGAATTTGATAAATTAAAAATAAATATGACAATTACATATTAGCATCTTGTACTAAATATGAAGAGTTAGACTCATTCAAAAAGAAAAATATGTTATTACAATAAATATTAAAAAACTTAAAAATTAAAAAAAAATCATTAAACATGATTCTTGCTAACAAAGGTTATGTACATAGAAAGGAAGAAATCAGCTTTATGAATAGTAACACTCAACAAAAGCCAACTATATTTGTAAAAGGACCCACGTTACATATTCTCCCTAAAGTTAAATATAATTTTTATGGAAGATGTGATCATTATATTTATACATATTCATCTAAACAATATAGTTCTCATAAATTAGTTTGAGTTCCTAAGGAACCATAAATAATTTGATGTCAAAAGTTAAGAAAGGTAGATCTAACCATAAATGACCCAAAGTTAAATAGGTACCTAGAACAAATCTTTTTTATAGGTATGTTTCTAAATAAGAACTACGAGCAAAAGATTATACTTTAATAATGGATGATCAAGACATATAACTGGAGATCCAACACACTTCTCAAAACTCACTAGCCGAAACAATAATAATAAAAAAAATTATTGATATTGAATATTTAGTAATAAATTAAATCTTTTAATTGAAAATATTCTTTCAGTAAAAGGTTTAAAACATAAGTTATTAAGCATTAATTAACTTTATGATAAAGGGATAAAATATTAAATTTAAATTTAATTCTTGCATTTCAAATAAGAATAATTTTATGAATGCTTCAAGAAGTAATAATATTTATCTTGATAATTTTCATGATGAAGCTTGCTTTTCGATTTTAAACGATGTTGCATGACCTTGGTATAGGAGATTAGGACATGTAAGTATGAAATTAATCTCACAGATTGGAACTAAAGAACTTTAGATATTTTTTAATTTTATAGGAATCTATCTATGTTATTTTCAATGAATTTTTCAAAAGTAAGAAAAATAATTTTGATGATAATTTTAAATTTTATAATTTGAGTTTGAATTTGAATTCTTCTCTCCAAAGTAACTTGTATATATCTAATTCCAAATAATCCTTATCCAAGGAATGTAGGTATATAAAGGTATATCCTAAGAAGCTAATTATTGGAGATATATCAAAAGGTGTTCAAACTCACTCTTTAATGAAAAATATTTATTCAAATGCACGAATTGAAAACTTTTACTATTTATTCTCATATGATTCTTTTCTTTTACTAAAAAGAATATTTATCCAAACAAATCATGATCTTTCACTTAACTTCTGATATTCATAACTTAATATTTATTTTATATTCAATCTCGTATGATTCTTTCTTTTCACTAATGACTAAGAAGGAGATTTATCTAAATGAATCGTAATCTTTTATTTGATATTTATAACTTGAGATTTATTTTATATAAATCAAGATCTTTTATTATTTGTTCTCTTATGATTCTTTTTGTTATTTACTAAAGAGGAGATTTATCCAAACGAATCATGATCTTGATTTCTCGATATTCATGACTTGAGATTTATTTTATATGAATCAAGATTTTTTATTATTTATTCTCACTCTTTTTGTTATTTACTAAAGATGAGATTTATCCAAATAAATTATAATCTTGATTTCTTAGTATTCATGACTTAAGATTTATTTTATATGAATCAAGATCTTTTATTATTTATTCTCCTATGAATTCTTTTTACTATTTACTAATTATGAGATTTATCTAAATTAATCATGATCTTTCACTTGACTTTTTGATGTTTATGACTTAAGATTTATTATGTATGATTCTTTTGTATTTATGACTTGTAAACTCCAATTTGTTGATAATAAATAAGAAGAAGAAGCCCATATTTGTGTTGATGATAAAACAAGAGAAATAGCAATTATGTTGAACAAGGAGACTTATGGCTAAATTTTACTAGTTATTTTTTAAAGCTTGATTAAATATTTAGGCTTGCAATGATATATCAATTCGAATTTATCTTAATTTGAATTTAAAAGTATTATTTAAAAATTCTATTTTGAATTCAGGATAATAACATTTTTAAGATGAAATAAAAAAAATGGAGTTTTGTTAATATCCCATCATCAATTGACCTTTCATAACTTGAATTTATCCTTGATATTAATATCTTTCATATTATGATTGGAACATTGATGTAAAGGGAGAAAAGTAGCACCATGATACCATGGTATCTTCTCTTCTTTTTTGATGATGACAACGGGGGAGAGAGAAGTAATAGCTTGCATATTTCAAAGAGAAGTAAAAACTTGTATATTTCTCCTTTTTGTTGATGACAAAGGGGAAGAAGTCTATTGTACTTTTTGATATCATAAAAGATTATGATGTTTGCAAATAAAGTCACTATAATTATTTTGATCTTTGCAACGAAAAGTAAAATTATACAAATGACCTTTGCAATGAAAGTCACTATAATTTTTTATTTCGATTTTGTAACATCCCATTAATCCCACATCAGAAGTGGGCAATGTATATGATTAGCTTATATGGGCCTGATGAGTGTACTATGTTAACTCCCATTTAAGCATTTTGGTCCATGGTTAAAAGATCAAAATAGAGTTATTGGCCAGTTAGCTCATCAAACTCGGGTCGTGACAGATTTGAGTTTAAAGAGTTACATTAAAAAATTATTTTTTTTATTTAAGTTTATTTTCTAAATAACATATAGATATGGGGAGTTTGGTTATAACTTTATCATTAATTGATTATCATCATAAAAAGGGGGAAGATTATTGAATCTTGAATTTTGATGATGAAATCAATTGATGAGTTTATAGACTAATAAACATTTGAGATAAGTGACGCGGGAGAAACTTCGATCATGAACTTAATCATTAAAGTAGGAGAATCAAACGTTAGGCCAGAGAGTATCATGTTAGATATTGGACATCGGGTTAGAGGATTGGTCGATGTGCCGAAGGATGGACTTCATGCCATGAGTTTGGGTATCGGGCCGGAAGGATCGAATATTACACCAGAAAGATCGAATCTAGATCAGATGCTGCAAGAGGTCAACATATCGATAAATCGAGCAATACGCCAAAGGAAAGAATGATGCACCAAAGGTTATAACGAAGTGTCAGATGAATAGATGGCATACCAAACAATATAAGCTTCATGATTGTGATTGTTAAGTCTTGATCAAAGTCGTTTAGAGTCTAATCGAGTTGGTTTTGGGAGTAACTATGATAACTTGATTAGGAGCCCATTAGGCCTGAATCAGGATTGAATTAGGCCTATTGGAAGGCCAATTCAGTGACTTGGGATTGAGTTGGTCAATGGTACTACTAGAGCCCAAGTTCCCAAGCTATGTCAAACAATGGTACCACCTAAGC